CAAAATCAGAATCAAGTTGTAATTAAATAAAAAACGGTAACTTAAATGTAGTCGTTGCTAATTTAACAGACTTACTTTGCTTTTACTTTAATTATTGTTAGTTTAATCATATATATAATCAATGTTAATTCAAAGTATAACTAAATAGTTTTATTTTGAACAAAGTAATGGTGAATAAAATAAATCAAATAATTATAACTCCGCCCACAAATAAACTGCTAAAGAATTATTTTGATTACCAGTTTTATCTTTTTACCCTGGTTGATACGGTTTCATGCTGTCACGTATTTGTGACAGTCGGCGCGAAAGGGTTAAGAAGCATCAAGTAAGACAAAAGAAATTGTGCCTAGTACAAATGGTTCAGTTGAATTCTTAATGATAGTATTGTTAAATTAACAACAATATCGCCTGTGAATATACCTTCAACTTGAACTGTCGTTGAAAAAGGTTTAAAAAGTGGTAGTAAAATAGCAATTAAGTTTGGAAGAATTTTCTTAAGACAAAACTAGGGATCCACTTTCTGCAAGCGATTTAATAAAATTGCAGAATAATGACAATTACGCCTACTCTTTAAAAGAGTCGTCACGAGCTAAATTATAAGTAGTGGTGGAAAAATTATTAAAATGAAACATACAAAAATAAAAAATACTTAAATTTTGTTACCACTGGAAAATATTTTTTCATAAACTGGACTATTAAGACGCAATTAAACAACAAATAGACCTTATCAACATATTTTTAATTAGATAATTGATTCGTCGTGGCAGTTTTATACATATTTTTTTGAACCTTTAAACGTTAAGATATAACACGTCAAAGCGCTAATGTTTATTAGAAACATTATATTAGAAATAGTTTTTTTAGTATTAGACTAAAAAAACTATTTCTCAATAACCGTAAAGTTGGCAGCTATACGCGAATCAGGGCTGAAAATCTATTTATCAAGACGAAAATGAGCAAGAAACTAATACTAAAGACATTTTATTTCATTCTAAATTTTTTCTCCCGAAAAATAACATTTCTCTTACTACATAATCATACCTGCCAACTTTTACGAATTAGGCGTAAAATTGTATTTCTATATTTAAATTGGTATTAAAATGTGTGCTTCCTATTAGTTTTTGCATTTATAAACTTAATTAATAATTTTTTTGATCCAACACTATTTGTAAAATAATTAAGCATATATATAAATTTGTAACACATTTTCAATGATTGGCATAAACTTCTTCAAAGTACGGTGTATGTTTCTGCCTAAAATTGTAATTTCAATACCATATTGCTACCATTGGGGAAATTAATTCTTGTAAGGATTAAAAGTTGGCACGTATGCATATTGTTAAATGCTTCAGCGAATAGAACGCATTTACTCTTATCCGTCTTGCTTTTATCCCGGCAATAATTTTATCCTGATTACTTAACAGTAATTATTTGTACTCTTAAAATCATAGAAATTCAGAATACTATTCTAAAACAATGTTTGTCGAACTTATCTCTCTCCTGAGCTGCTGTACTGATTTTAAATCTTTTTCTGAACTAGCAACCAAAACAAGTGACGATTTTTTTCTCTCATTAAATCTTACATTTGATTTGTCATATTTGTGGTGGAATCTTGGTTAGCTAACTGGAACGTCAACGGTAAGTACAGGAAATGTACCCGTGAAGTACTAGTAGTTAGCACTCAATTAGCGGTTTGGCGATCACTGCTCTTCTTGTGCCTGGGTTCTCTACAACTTAGAATTGTAAGTAAACTGGAAATTTCGTAATTCTGTATTGTTTTATCCGAAGTGTTGAAAGCATAAAATTTTATACATATATTATTAAAGAATATAAAATATTAACTTTACATACCAGGTTTATCATTATCTGAAAACCAAATAAATTAAAAATTTTCACAAAACGGGAAATTGCTTAATTTTATCATATCAATAGTCTCATTAGTTATTTTTAATGAAATGTTGAGCTTATCGCAGAGGATAGACAATTTGTTAAGGAGTATTAGATTGCTTATTTTTATATTTTTAATAGTCTCTTTTATGAATCTCTTGGTTTATGGCAGTTGATAAACAGGACTTTTACGAAAAATCCTAGAGTAGTAATTCTATTTTATGAATATTCTTTCTATATTTTTTTATGAAGTGCTGAGTTTATGGTAGTTTATAGACATGATTTGTCACAAAATCTTAAATTATTAATTTTATTTTAATATTCTTTCTATTTTTATTTTTTGCAGTTGATATTCAAAATTTGTCACAGAATCTCCGCTTATGAATTCTATCTTATCAATAGCCTATTTTTTCAATTAAGCGTTTAGTGAAATTGCAAATGATAGACCTTATTGCAGGCTATTAGATTGCTTAATTTTATCTTACTAATATATATAGACTGAAATGCTCAGTTAAGTTTATAAAATTGTTACAGGTTATTAGATAGCTTAATTCTATTTTACCAATAGTCTTTCTATTTTTTTCCTGAAACATTGAGTTTAAGAGAAATGATTGACTTAAGCTATTACTGGAATTAAAAATTAATAGTACTTACCAGCCGCATCTGCAAATTAAATAAATTTTAAATAAATTATGTTATGAATTAATTTTATAACATACATGTATTATATTATATGATATATATAATTAATTATATGATAATTTTATTATAAATTAGGTAATTGTGTTGAGTTGAGGTAAAATAGCTTTAGGAAAGATAGGCGCATCCCCTCCATTTCTATTTGATCCATTGTGTGAGTGAAACTAATTTTCAACTGGGTGTATAGTTGAGAAATGTTGTAAGAAAAAGCAACAAATGGCTCTAGGCAACACAAAATTACGAACCATAGGGACCGTATCCATGCAGCGTTCCTTAGCAATGGTACCAACTTTATAAAATTTTCAGCAAAATTTCTTCAAGGTTTATGTTTTAATGCAGAGATACCAATTTGCAACGCTTTGTAAAACTATATTATCTCAAATGGTAACGAAATTTAAGTTATTTTTAGTTTAGTATTTTCCCTTTCTAGAAATTTATTTACCTCTGCATATCAAAAAATGGAGGTATGCTATGAAATGCGCAACTTTGTTGCAGCAGCTCCCCAAATCCTCTTACGGTGTCTTAATAAATAGAATTAGGTAATTCATTACCACTGGAAATTTTTTTCTTCTTAAGTTTGTTAAAACTTTTGAAATGAATACCCCGTAACTTTCTACGATGATTTGAATACCTTAAATAAATTAAATTCTGTCGAATAATAATAATATTATTTTTTACATTCTCCCAACGTTTTAGAAAAAAAAAGTTTTCAATTTTATATATCCGTTAGCCTCAGTCGCCCTAGGGCTTAACTCAGATGAAAGAATGGAGTGTTCGCCACGCAGCGGGGACTCTGAATCACCCCTAATCAAATCAAGTCACCACATATCAAGTCAGTTATCTCATACCTTTTAGGGTCGCTGCCGCAGGGTTAATTAATTAGCAATTTTTAGAGTGATGAGCAACACAGAAACGAATGGCATTCACTAGGACACCTGGGTCCTCACTTTAACAGAGCCACTGATTTAGTAACTAGTCTTTTAACTATAACTGCTTTTCATTTGATAATTCAATTTTCATTTTGATCCTACGTTTTCAGTTTTGTGTACGTATATAGCTTGTAAATATTATCTATTAATCTCGTTTTATTTAGTATATATATGTTCTCGTATTAATCTCGACTTATTCTTCTCATTTATTTAAATTGTTTTGTTAATTTTATTATTACTTTAATCTGTGATTTCGTAATTTTCAAGCTGAATTCATCATATGACTACCGCTGGCTATTATAATTCTATACTGGTTGTTATAATTCTGTCGCTATAATTTTCTTCTTCGCCACTCCGCCTCTCCCCTTCAATATGCTTCACATGTTCTCCAATAATCGACAAAATCATCACAGACGAATCATAGGCAGTGTACTGAGTTAGACTCTATTTCTAACGTTCTAACGTAGCAGTTATCCCGAGCTGTAAACGTGATTTTTGTTGTAGATTTGATTTAGAGTTATTTTCCACACCACTACAAGAGAGTCGAAGTTCTTCAGTTCAGGTGAAACTATATTTTGTTCCAGCTCTTTCGTGGTAAAGTTTGTAGAATGTTGAGAAAATGAACAAAAATACTAGAAGCCTTAATTTTGCATTGTCTACCATTCTATGAAAAATACTTCGAAGAAAGTGTGGAAAGTTGGTAACCCTAGGTCATACCCTCCAACTGTTCGAATCGAGCCATCACCTCCTACATCAAAAAACCTCCACTGGTTTAGTTGGCGGTCAGAAATCAGAAACCGTTGAAAAAAGGTATGTTTATTCAGAGAAAATACGTTTTTACGTCTGGTTTCGTTACTTAAAACATCGTATACACTAATTAATTAGCATATTTGAGGTCACCATATGCGCCATTCAGATCAGGTCCTGAAAAAGCCACTCCTTTTTAATTGTCAGGAGGCACAACTGATTTGCATTTTTATCATTTATTCTCTTACACAAAAGTAGCAAAAGTGAGTGATGTAATTAGGAGACAGTAGCGTTGAATATTTTCAAGAAAGAGGTCAAATAAACAGAAACAGCATTGAGAAAACATATTTAGTTTCAAAGGAAAAAAAAAAAGAATTGTGTAAAGCGATGGTTATGTTAAATATTCAAGCAACTTAAATTTGACTTTAAGTGTAACATTGATATATATTGTGCATTTGATAATTGAAGAATTGGTCACTTACTGCACAGGACTAAGTTCACTGAAATGAAAGTTCAAGGTGTTTTTTATTATTTATAAAAAGTAACAATAAATAAATCAAATGAAATGAGTATAGTTAAATTAATGTTGGCATTACTTTTCAGTTACTACTATTTATAGATATTGTGGTTACTGAGTTTTTAATTCGTAGAAAGATTCACTCTTTGACAAAATACATTTTCGAAGATCTCGATTACTGAACAAAAAGCTGATTTAACGAAGGCATTCGACAATTTTTTCTTTTTTTTCCTAATTATGTATATTTGAACTTTTTATCAATGAAAACTTTTGATCAGAATGTTTAGTATTACAACATATTAAATTAAAACAATAAAATTAAAACAACATTTCCTAAAATCTATGTGATCCCTCAAGACTTGCTTATTCTCCATCTGCGACTGTCAAGTAACGCCATAGTAGGCAATTTTTGATTTTATTATTATTATTATTATTTTTTGTAAAATATTTAAAGTAGCCGGAAATAAACAAATTTATAAACCCATTATTTACACTAATAAACAAACTTTCAAATAACACAACAACATTCATTCAACAACAACAGCTTTTNTTTAAGATAACCAGGGTCCGATTATTTAAAATTGTAGTAAATTTATATGCAAATAATATTTAGTAATACTTAATTGTCCATATGCGACATAAATGATTTATAATATGCAAATAATAATATGCGGAAACTTTACATTTTGTAGTTGCATAGACTTTTTCAAGTCGTCCAAATTTTAAGAGAATGCTTCAGTACTAATAAATGTAACACATTGAAACAAAAACAATCGCTTTTCAGAATGCAAATAATACTTAATAGTTCATGTGAAAATAATACTTAGTTAAACTTACTATTTTATATACAAATAATAATTTTTTGTATTTACTTGTATATAAGCAAAAAATAGTAATACGAAATGGATCCTTTGCAAATAATACTTAGTAATACTGTATAGTTTTTATGCAAATAATATTCAATAATTTATGCGTGGACAATATTTACTAATTCTTTCTGGTTCGTATGTAAATAAATAATTCATAATGCTGAAACTTAATGGTTAGGAAAGAAGTATTTAGTTATTCATTATAATTTTGATGAAAATAATTTTTAATACTACAGAATGGTTTTTAGGCAATTAATAATATACTTTACTCAATGATTTATGCGTAAGTAATATTTAGATTTTTTTTGTATTTCGTATGTAGCTAATATTTCAGTATGCTTAATCATAATTGATAGGCAGCAAGTAGTCAGTTATTCATTATGATTTTCATGCAAAAATTACTTAAATATGTAGAATGGTTTATTTGCAAATAATTCTTAATAATAACTGGTTTATATGCAAATAATACGCAATTTATCTTAGCTTTTGCAAATAGTCTTTAATAATTAACTTACTTAAAAGGAAACACCAGATAAAAACAAAAATTAAATGGTATTTCATCGCCAGGCAGCAGTAGTTTCCTCAAATAGATTTCGTTGAAAGTTGTAACTGCAGAACCCAAAAAACTTTCAAATAATTTCTGACTTAGTGCCGTAAAGCATATTTTTTGTAGTGTGCCATCATTTTGAAGTGATTGGCGACACCTTCAAATTTACTTCAGATCATAAATGCTTTGACGTGTGTGAATAAGAGGCTATAAAAATTTTGTTATTTTCTATCGAAGTTTTTGCTATATATCGACAATCAATTAAAGCTTAATAATGGTTTTTGCCTCTATGTTTTTATCGTTTTGAAGATGGAATTGTTTGAAAATAAGTTGGTGACACACTCATTTCGAATATAGAATATTCTTTTATTAGCTCTATGATTTAGATGCAGTAATAATTTCGTATTATAGTCTCAATGAAATCTTTTCTCTTAGGAAAATCATAAGTTTTTTATAATTTTCTTATCTCAATATAACGTAAGTAATGGTATAAAACAGTTTTTTATTGTTGTCGGAGCATTCTTATTGGCCCGAAAATCGAAAAAAAGTAATAATAAGCAAAGAAGATCAAGATTCTTTGGTTGTCTTCAACATAAAATAGATAACTGTTATTTTTTCTTGCAAAATATTTCTTTATATCTTTATTAACAGTAAATATAATTCGCAGTAAGGTTGAATTCCTTAACGTTAAATTCTCTTTCTGAGTAATTCTCCATAGTTAGGAGAGTTTTAAAGCGAATTGCTCACAATTATAAAATTTCTTCAGTCGAAGATTACTCCATGTAAGAAATAATTTTTAAAAATTACTTTATTTTGTACTTTTGCTTAATAAGGATAAAAAAACTTACATTTTACTTTACAAAACTTTTTAAACCGTTTTAAGCAACGCAATTTTAAATGATAAATTACAAAATTTAAGTAAAATTAGCTATATATATATATATATATATATAT